CTAAAAGTTATTTTTCAAAACGGGTTGGTTCATTGGAAAGAGGACACTTTTATTAACACTTTGGGAAATTTTCATACTCATATTCCAAGAAATGGATTTTATACGAATTTTTAAAACTTAATTGGCGAAAATTGCAAAATTCGAAAAAATTCTCGATCATTTCAAAAATTTATTTCTCAAAAACTGAAAGTGATTTTTCAAAACGGCTTTTTGCATTAAAAAGAGGATACTTTAATTAATAATTGGTGATATTTCCACAAGGATCCTTCAAGAAATTAATTTTATAGCGAATTTTGAACGTTATCGATGAAAATTGCAACATCGAAAATTTTATCAAAACTTCAAATATTGTTTTCTCAAAAACTAAGTTATTTTTCAAAACGAGTTAGTTCATTGGAAAGAGGGCACTTTTATTAACACTTTGGAAGATTTTCATGCTCATATTCCAAGAAATAGATTTTATACGAATTTTTAAATCATAATCAGCGAAAATTAAAAAATTCGAAAAAAATTTCGGTCATTTCAAAAATTTATTTCTCAAAAACTAAAAGCGATTTTTCAAAACGGTTTATTGCATTAAAAAGAGCATACTATAATTAATAATTGGTGATATTTCCACAAGGATCCTTCAAGAAATTAATTTTATAGCGAATTTTGAAAATTATCGATGAAAATTGCAACATCGAGAATTTTACCAAAACTTCAAATGTTGTTTTCTCAAAAAATAAAAGTTATTTTTCAAGACGGGTTGGTTCATTGGAAACAGGACACTTTTATTAACACTTTGGAAAATTTTCATACTCATATTCCAAGAAATGGAGTTTATACGAATTTTTAAAACTTAATTGGTGAAATTTGCAAAATTCGAAAAAATTGTCAATTATTTAAAAAATTTATTTCTCAAGAACTAAAAGTGATTTTTCAAAACGGCTTTTTGCATTAAAAAGGATATTTTAATTAATAATCGAAAGTGATAACAGCGACAGTTCTGTTAGTAAAGAATGTGATGATGAATTACAAGCGAAGAGAAGAAAACTAGACGAAACTGCAACAAGAGATTTTATACAGGGTGAGTCAGAAAGAATGGGAAATCCGAATACCGGAGATACTAGACACCAAAATATGATGATTTAACGTAACATCTCTTATACAAATGTCAGTGGTTTTCGAGGCATAGGGTGTTGAAAGTTACATTCTTATTTCGAAATTTCTTGATAATTTTGAAGGTTTTTGTACTATTAACATAAAATTTGGTAGTTTTATAGTTTTTTACAGCTACGACAAATAAGAGCTGCAAATCACAAAGAGCATTCAATTTTATATAAAAAAGGTACTCTTATTGAAATTACCTAATTCTATCGGTTTTCGAATTATTTACTTTTAAATGTTTAAATGTATTTTTTCTTCTAAAATATTTATTTTTTAACATAAGGAAAGTTGGCTTATTTTTTCGCTTATGTTTCAACAATTGCCTGTTAATTGTCAACATTGTTCTAATTTCCGTGTGCAATAATCATTTTTACCAACAATAAAGTTATTACCAATTTGAAAATGCCACGACATAACGAGTTTTTTAATAGTGAGAAATCCAGATTTAAATCCACTGGATTTTTGAAAATGGTCACAATATTCTATTGTTATTAATTAATTGTTATTGTTATCGATTATTATCGTTACTAATTGCTATAGTTACTGTGTGTTATTGATTTTATCTATAACTATTGAATTATCTATTAGTTATACATTTGATTTTTGACGAGTAATGATACGCATTACTCATGACTGACAAAGTGTTGAATAATGAAGCCATTATTCCACAGTTCTGACACGGCCTACTAATCAAAAAATAAAATATTAACAGAAATGACAGCTTTCTTATATTGAGGTTATGTCTGAAATGTCTATCAAGTTCTTTTTTTTCTTTTTTTGATTTCTTTTTTCAAAATTAAATAGTTGTAGATAAAGTATAGTATTCAACTTACGTATAATGGATGTTACCCACTCAGATTATTCATCTTCATGACTTCATCTTCGTGGGTAACAGCCGCCATTATACGCTTGTTGAATAATATACTATTAAATGTTAACCATAAAATTACTTTGAAACAATTAAAAGCAGATAACTTCGAAACCAGTAGACTTAGACAATGTAAGCAAGAGTACCTTTTTTGTGCAGAATTGAAAACTCCTTCAGATTTCTAGTTCTGATTCACCATACCTCAACTGACAAAATAGTCATGACTTGATATCTCAAACGTACAGTATGTATCTACTATCTGTGCAAAAAGTCAAGGCCCCTCACTTTAGAGATCGATATCTTCGCAACCGCTCCATAAAAAAAATTGCAACAAAATTTGTTGTAATCACTGAACATTTCTACGTAACTTATGTTAATCTGAAAATTTTCGGATCCACAGTTTTCTTGTTACCGCGAGTTAAATGAAAAATGTACCCGATTTTTNAGTGAAAATTGCAAAATTAGAAAAAATTTTCCATAAGCGATAAACTAAAAGCGATTTTTCAAAACGGCTTTTTGCATCAAAAAGAAGATACTTTAATTAATAATTGGTGATATTTCCACAAGGATCCTTCAAGGAATTAATTTTATAGCGAATTTTGAAAATTATCCATGAAAATTGCAACATCGAGAATTTTATTAAAACTTCAAATATTGTTTTCTCAAAAACCAAAAGTTATTTTTCAAAACGGGTTGGTTCATTGGAAAGAAGACACTTTTATTAACACTTTGGGACATTTTCATACTCGTATTCTAAGAAATCGATTTTATACGAATTATTAAAATTTAATCGGCGAAAATTGCAAAATTCCGAAAAATATTCGATCATTTCAAAAATTTTTTTCTCAAGAACTAAAAGTGATTTTTCAAAACGGCATGTTGCATTAAAAAGAGGATACTTTAATTAATAATTGGTGATATTTCCACAAGGATCCTTCAAAAAATTAAATTTATAGCGAATTTTGAAAATTATCGATGAAAATTTGCAACATCGAGAATTTTATCAAAACTTCAAATATTGTTTTCTCAAAAACTAAAAGTCATTTTTCAAAACGGGTTGGTTCATTGAAAAGAGGAAACTTTTATTAACACTTTGGCAAATTTTCATACTCATATTCCAAGAACTGGATTTTATACGAATTTTGAAAACATAATCCGCGAAAATTGCAAAATTCGAAAAAATTGTCGATTATTTCAAAAATTTATTTCTTACGAAGTAAAAGTGATTTTTCAAAACGGCTTTTTGCATTAAGAAAAGGATACTTTAATTAATATTCGAAAGTGATAACAGCGATAGTTCTGTTAGTAAAATTGTATTCAATGAAAAAGGTGCTATTGGGGTTGAACTTTATTATTATCTACAGTGTCCAACACCTAAAAGAGATACTAATTCCTGTGAATGATGGAGTATTAAGTAATAAGTTTTTAATATCCGGCTTTGGCCGGATAGCGCGGATACCGGATAGTTGCCGGATATCCGTTCCACCACTAGGCATGAGCTATATGTATCTTCTAATTACCGGGTGTTTCATTTAAAATGACACCTTTTGGACCTTTTTTTTATTGATGACAATTTGAATGGCAGAAAGTATCGGAATTTTTTGTTGGAAGACCTTACTCTGGAGCGAAGACTTGCGCTATGGTATAAGCATGATGGATGTCCATCTCATTATGCTCTTGCAAGAGAAGTTTTAGACAAAATGTTTCCTGAAAAATGGATAGGACGTAATGGACCGGTGAATTGGCCAGCTAGATCACCCGACTTAACTTCTCCTGATTTCTTTCTTTGGGATTACCTCAAAGAGAAAGTTTACAACCAGGTTCCAACAACACCAAACGATATGAAAAACCGTATCAGAGCAGCTTGCGAATCAATAACTGAAGAAATGCTTGGCAATGTGCAGAGAACGTTTTTAATGAGAATTCAGAAATGTTTAGAAGTGAATGGTTATCATTTTGAGCATTTAATCAATGTTCTAAGGTGAATTCAAAAATGAAGAAGAATTTTAGTACTATTTTACGATTAATTAAATCGTTTTTTTATTAATTAAATTTTTTTAATTACATTTTGAAAAATGTTGTTTTATTTTTCTTGTTGTAGATATCTTCATAACGCAGACTTTAAGAAAAAATTTTTTTAAGCAAAAAATACTTAGTTTGTCAAGTTGTTCAAGACGTTGAAAGAAAAAAGTATATGTGCGATTTGAAAAAATGAAAACATGTCAGAAGGGCCTTTAGGCAACCTTGAAAAAAAATCTGCTTATGTGTACTCTGTGCCCCCCTTTTCACCAAAAAAAGTTTACTTAAAACTTTTTTCGATTCGAGATATAAGCATAATATATGTCATTTTAAATGAAACACCCTGTATATTAATTAACCATATTTTTGCCATTATAGTATCTCCTATGTACGAAGCAGTACATACCTACTCGTAGAACATTTAACTACTACACCTTTTCTAATAACGTTTTCATTGCTTCTTATTGTAGTTTTTTCCATTATTCCTTCCATCTTAACTCTCAATCCATCGATAAGTATCTTATTATAAATGTCTCAATTATTAATGATACTGCAAAACGAAACGAACAAAATAACAAATATTCCAATTTTCATGTTGCGAATGACATTTCGTTGACAAATATTCGAAAGAATTGCCTTTGCATACTAATAGATGGCGTAATGCTTTTCGATTGACAGATCGAAGGCGACGCGACGTCGTTTCTCGTTCTTAGGCGACGCCTTGGCGATCGGTTAAATCAGTCACTGTATCAACCACCGTTTTGCGGAAATGGACCAAGAAATATCAGCGTCGGATGAACGGGCGAAACGAGGGGGTGGACCTTTCCCCATTACTTTCCATTTGCAGGCGGAAATTCAGACAGTAAATTCAAGAAGGCGGCCGCGCATTAGCGTCCGCGGAGACCTCTGGCGGCGTCTGCATTTACCACGACGCCCTACATACGTCACCGTAATTTTGTAATTTATCCTACAACGTTCTCCGACCGCGCTCTGAAAAATAATATTACTAAACGCAATAGCGATAATACGTTTTATGTGTCGTAAAAGGTTGCGGGGCGGAGCGACGCGAAACGGGTCATTATAAAATAGGCTATTAATTTCGCGATAATTCCATCTCGGTGACGTTAGTCGTTGCGAATGCTCTGCTCCAACGGGTGGGGTGGTCAGTTTTGTTAAAACTAAATTTAGTTTCCGACCTAGTCGTACCTCCCTGACAATCAAACCGTCAAAGTGGCTTTTAGTGCTGCCACGTAATCCACGGTCTATTGATTATGCCCCAACAAATGGCACGACCTCATACTATATGAAAGATTTTAAAAATGATTATTGCATTCTCTTTTTATCTACTTTTTTCTTCTGTGCAATCAGGTCAGTACAATAAAATCTTTCTTAATAAGGGTAGATTCGGTGAGTGTGGTATTAAGTAGATTTTCCATGCAACTTCCTACTCAACTAAAAGTGACGCAAACAGTCGATGTAGGCGCCCATAATTTTGCATGGTCACTGCCTATTTAATCGCACAACTCCATCGAATTGAGTGAATATAAATAACTTAATATTTTTTAAAGATACACCCACATGTGATCCACCCATGATTTTGCTTACATGTGAATCATCAACGTGTCCTCCGGAATATCGACAAAATTGCGATAAACTACTACAACCTATTAAACCATGCAAAAGAGATTGTGTTGCAGCTTGCGGATGTCCATCTGGAACGTGTTTCAACAGCGAAATAAAAACTTGCGTTATAAAGGCACCGGATGATGATTCGTCGATTTTTAGCTTTACTGATATTATCCTAACAAAAAAATAAAATCAAATATTATAAATAAAAACCGTTGTTTTATTTTATGACTAACAATGCTTATTTATAATTAAAAGTTTTGCAAGTTGGAACGTTTAGGAGGTGAGATGTTCTGGGTCGGCTTGCTGGTCAGCTTCCGGTACCATTACTTAACTCCAATAAACCGCAACGGACCGTTTGAAAATTTAATTAAGGAGACGACCGCCGTCGGTTAGTCCGCAGTAACGTGAGCGCGTTATTAGGAATGTTGGAAATGAATAAACGGGTCGCTGGATTAGGAATCGGGGGAATGTATAAAAGGGAGGGACCCGGCCCGAAATTGTCCGCCATTTATATGCTTTCCGGTTTCTGTAATGAACTATCCGGACGGACGTTATTAAGGAAAAGTTTACTTTGGCCAACTAATATTTTAATAGTGGAAAACCCACACGCTGGAACACACCAAATTTATTATTACATTAATAATTTTCTTGAATCAATACTGAGATCAACTTAAATGCTATACTCCTATGCTAATTTATCATGGCACACATTTTTTCTACTTGTTTCCTGAAATTTCATTTAGCTTCCACGTTTCAGCTTTTTTGGTGCAATATCAATTAGACCATTCGCAACGCCAAAAAGAAGGCATTTCTATCAATTCCACAGAGTGAAGTATTCTATTCAATACAGCGTGACAAGCAAGTTCTTGTTCTTTTCTTCTTGTGATCATTATGGCACTGATCACTGATAAACGCCCACAGTTTACCCAAGATGTATCAACAAATCCTATCTCCACATTTGTAATGTAGCAATCAAAGGATTAAGGGATAGCTACTGGAGCCTAAAAATTGAAATTTATCGGTTAAGGCATAATAACCCCTACAGACGAGTCCCTGGTACTAATGGTTTTGGGTTAAGTAAGGTGTAACAGCCCCATCCCAAATAAAATAAATATTGTTATGAAAACATCGTATCTCAATAATTAAGTGAGATATCGAAATGAGATAAAAACCATATTAAAGCAAATTTAATCTAGTTTTAGAGTGCCTTAATTTATTTCTTAGTGTTCATAAACGTCCTGGTTCTGATTTTTTTAAATCTAACCCTGCTAATTTGTTTACATTCAAAAAGATTAATATTAAAATAATCCTATCTCAATAATTGAGTGAAATATCGCAATGAGATAAAAACCATATTACAGCAAATTTAATCTAGTTTTAGAGTGCATTAAATTATTTCTTAATTTCCATAAACGTTCTAGTTCTGATCCTTTTAATCTAACCCTATATTAGTTTGCTTACATTCAAAAGAATTGATATTAAAAAAAATCGTATCTCAATAATTAAGTGAGATATCGCAATGAGATAAAAACCATATTAAAGCAAATTTAATCTAGTTTTAGAGCGCCTTAAATTATTTCTTAGTGCCCATAAAAGTGCTATTTCTGATTTTTTGAATCTAACCCTATTAGTTTGTTTAGATTCAAAAAGATTGATATTCGTAAAGTCGTATCTCAAAAATTAAACGAGATATCGAAATGAGATAAAAACCATATTAAAGCTAATTTAATGTAGTTTAAGAGTGCCATAAATTATTTCTCACTTTTCATAAACGCCCTAGTTCTGATTTTTTGAAATCTAACCCTGCCTATTTGTTTACATTCAAAAACATTAAAATTAAAATAATCCTATCTCAATAATTAAGTGAAATATCGTAATGAGATAAAAACCATATTAAAGCAAATTTAATCTAGTTTTAGAGTGCCTTAAATTATTTCTTAGTACCCATAAACGTGCTAGTTCTGATTTTTTGAATCTAAGCCTATTAGTTTGTTTAGATTCAAAAGGATTGATATACGTAAAGTCGCATCTCAAAAATTAAGTGAGATATCGAAATGAGATAAAAACCATATTAAAGCAAATTTAATGCAGTTTTAGAGCGCCTTAATTTATTTCTTAGTGTCCATAAACGTACAAGTTCTGATTTTTTTTAAATCTAACCCTGCTAATTTGTTTACATTCAAAAAGATTAATTTTAAAATAATCCTATCTCAATAATTGAGTGAAATATCGCAATGAGATAAAAACCATATTAAAGCAAATTTAATCTAGTTTTAGAGTGCATTAAATTATTTCTTAATTTCCATAAACGTCCTAGTTCTGATCTTTTTAATCTAACCCTATATTAGTTTACTTACATTCAAAAGAATTGATATTAAAAAAATCGTATCTCAATAATTAAGTGAGATATCGCAATGAGATAAAGAGCATATTAAAGCAAATTTAATCTAGTTTTAGAGTGCCTTAAATTATTTCTTAGTGTAAATAAACGTCCTAGTTCTGATTTTTTGACTCTAACCCTATCAGTTTGTTTAGATTCAAAAGGATTGATATTCGTAAAGTCGTCTCTCAAAAACTAAGCGAGATATCGAAATGAGCTAAAAACCATATTAAAGCAAATTTAATGTAGTTTAAGAGTGCCATAAATTATTTCTCAGTTTCTATAAACGCCTTGATTCTGATTTTTTAAAATCTAATCCTGCTAATTTGTTTACATTCAAAAAGATTAATATTAAAATAATCCTATCTCAATAATTAAGTGAGATATCGCAATGAGATAAAAACCATATTAAAGCAAATTTAATCTAGTTTTAGAGTGCCTTAAATTATTTCTTAGTGTAAATAAACGTCCTAGTTCTGATTTTTTGACTCTAACCCTATCAGTTTGTTTAGATTCAAAAGGATTGATATTCGTAAAGTCGTCTCTCAAAAACTAAGCGAGATATCGAAATGAGCTAAAAACCATATTAAAGCAAATTTAATGTAGTTTAAGAGTGCCATAAATTATTTCTCAGTTTCTATAAACGCCTTGATTCTGATTTTTTAAAATCTAATCCTGCTAATTTGTTTACATTCAAAAACATTAATATTAAAATAATCCTATCTCAATAATTAAGTGAGACATCGCAATGAGATGAAAACCATACTAAAGCAAATTTAATCTAGTTTTAAAGTGCCATAAATTATTTCTTAGTTGCCATAAACGTCCTGGTTCTGATATTTTTAAATCTAACCCTGCTAATTTGTTTACATTCAAAAAGATTAATATTAAAATAATCCTATCTCAGATATAAGTGAGATATTGCAATGAGATAAAAACCATATTAAAGCAAATTTAATCTAGTTTTAGAGTGCTTTAAATTATTTCTTAATTTCCATAAACGTCCTAGTTCTGATTTTTTTAATCTAACCCTATTTTAGTTTGTTTACATTCAAAAGAATTGATATTAAAAAAATCGTATCTCAATAATTAAGTGAGATATCGCAATGAAATAAAAACCATATTAAAGCAAATTTAACGTAGTTTAAGAGTGCCATAAATTATTTCTCAGTTTCCATAAACGCCTTTGTTCTGATTTTTTTAAATCTAACCCTGCTAATTAGTTTACATTAAAAAAATTAATATTAAAATAATCCTATCTCAATAATTAAGTGAGATATCGCAATGAGATAAAAAGCATATTAAAGCAAATTTAATCTAGTTTTAGAGTGAATTAAATTATTTCTTAGTGCCCATAAAAGTGCTAGTTCTGATTTTTTGAATCTAACCCTATTAGTTTGTTTAGATTCAAAACGATTGATATTCGAAAAGTCGTATCTCAATAATTAAGCGAGATATCGAAATGAGATAAAAACCATATTAAAGCAAATTTAATGTAGTTTAAGAGTGCCATAAATTATTTCTCAGTTTCTATAAACGCATTGATTCAGATTTTTTCAAAATCTAATCCTGCTAATTTGTTTACATTCAAAAAGATTAATATTAAAATAATCCTATCTCAATAATTAAGTGAAATATCGTAATGAGATAAAAACCATATTAAAGCAAATTTAATCTAGTTTTAGAGTGCCTTAAATTATTTCTTAGTACCCATAAACGTGCTAGTTCTGATTTTTTGAATCTAAGCCTATTAGTTTGTTTAGATTCAAAAGGATTGATATACGTAAAGTCGCATCTCAAAAATTAAGTGAGATATCGAAATGAGATAAAAACCATATTAAAGCAAATTTAATGTAGTTTAAGAGTGTCATAAATTATTTCTCAGTTTCCATAAACGCCTTGGTTCTGATTTCTTAAATTCTAACCCTGCTAATTTGTTTATATTCAAAAGAATTGATATTAAAAAAATCGTATCTCAATAATTAAGTGAGATATCGCAATGAGGTAAAAACCATATTAAAGCAAATTTAATGTAGTTTAAGAGTGCCATAAATTATTTCTCAGTTTCCATAAACGCCTTTGTTCTGATTTTTTTAAATCTAACCTTACTAATTAGTTTACATTCAAAAAATTAATATTAAAATAATCCTATCTCAATAATTAAGTGAGATATCGCAATGAGATAAAAACCATAGTAAAGCAAATTTAATCTAATTTTAGAGTGCTTTCAATTATTTCTTAGTGCCCATAAACGTACTAGTTCTGATTTTTTGAATCTAACCCTACTAATTTGTTTAGATTCAAAACGATTGATATTCGAAAAGTCGTCTCTCAATAATTAAGCGAGATATCGAAATGAGCTAAAAACCATATTAAAGCAAATTTAATGTATTTTAAGAGTGCCATAAATCATTTCTCAGTTTCCATAAACGCCTTTATTCTGATTTTTTTAAATCTAATCCTGCTAATTTGTTTACATTCAAAAAGATTAATATTAAAATAATCCTATCTCAATAATTAAGTGAGACATCGCAATGAGATAAAAACCATATTAAAGCAAATTTAATCTAGTTTTAAAGTGCCATAAATTATTTCTTAGTTTCCATAAACGTCCTGGTTCTGATTTTTTTAAATCTAACCCTGCTAATTTGCTTACATTCAAAAAGATTAATACTAAAATAATCCTATCTCAATAATGAAGTGAGATATCGCAATGAGATAAAGAGCATATTAAAGCGAATTTAATCTAGTTTTAGAGTGCTTTAAATTATTTCTTAGTGCCCATAAACTTGCTAGTTCTGATTTTTTGAATCTAACCCTATTGGTTTG